ACTTGACAGAGACCAAACTGCGGGGATGGACGGTGAAATATGGGCGAGAAGATAAAGTACAGCAGTTGCTAGAGCAGTATCGAAACTTTGTATCTCGAAATCGAATTTTCCAAGAATTCAATAAGGCTTATATTGACATGCAGAAAGTGGTAGAGGAGTACAAGAAAGAAGGCAATGTTGGTAAGTTGGTAACATTTGTATTAGTATGGATCAGAATATCTGCTAGATTGGTCATGCTTCTGTTTGATGGACTGTGTTAGTGTTTGTACTATATGCTGGTTACTTTGAGATCAGTCAGTTATTTAGGAGTACAAATATGTGTTTATATACAAAATACATGGTTAAGTAAAGTTCAACATGAGAATTTGTAAGATTTGGAAAAATTCTTGCTGTAATGGGTACTCATACAAATTATCATATTTTTAATGATTTTTCTCAGTGCCTCTAGGAAAATATTGAGATAATTCTTTAAATTAGGCCATGACCACTTCCTTCCATGTTGTTTCCAATTCATTACTTGTTAATCATCCTATTATGCAACATCCAATTCATTACTTGTTAATCATCCTATCACTGTATGGTTTGAGTTACTGACAGTGTTGTTAATGATCTACAAATAAATATGTATAAATTTCTTATCACTATCAGATAATTGAATATGCAACATGTATTTCAGATCATCGTGAAAGCATAAATATTGATCGTTTTATGCGAGAAACTGGTGAACGCTGGAAAAATGTGTCAATGGAACTACGGTGTGTGCAGAGTATGTTAGAAGAAGTAGTTTCATACTGGCGGAGATGGAACAACTTGGCTGATGAATTTGAGTCTTGGCTTGACCGAGCCTACGGAATGCTTGATTTGCCAGAAGAAGACAAAATGGAATACTTTCAGGTTATATATCAGTACTCTAGAGTAACACAAGAACTGTTCATATCTGTCAAAATATCTTTTGCTAAATTAATCTGTGTATGATTAGATTTATTAATTAACTGTTACTTTATTCCAGTAATGTAGTTCTTTAATTTTATGTTTTTTTGTCTCACTGCAGTTCAATCTGACTTCCTCTCATCTGGTGTAGAAAATTGTCTTGTTCTGGTTAACTATAAGGAAAAGGATTAGGGATGTTTGTTTTTTAGTTATAGCTGTAGATTTAAAAACAGAATTTCAGCTTATTTTCTTTGTAGATCTGTTAATCCTTACAGTCATACCCATAATACTGTTTTCTAAATGATAATGTAGTTATATGTAAGTTGCGTCTCATTAAAATAACAAACAGTGATTCTGTTATCTCATTTCATGTAACTGGATTTACCGGTTATTAAGTATCAAGTTATTGTTGACTACGTGAAAACCAGATAAAATATTTGAGCTACATGTATGCATAATCAAAAATAGTGTAATGTGTTTAACTTTGAGCTTTTGTGATTATCGTACTCATTTAAAGAAGAGACGTAATTGTAATGCCTAATATTTACATTCTGTTTTCAGGATGTGAGTGTGTGGAAGGACAAATTCCAACTACTGGGAGACACTGTCAGTTTCCTGATTGCCACCTGTGAAGATCAAGTAGCACATGAACTGAAGGAGAGGTATCTTAGGATCTCTGTCCGATGGGAAGACCTCTTTCAAGTATGTTAACTGGATAACTTTTGAAGAGAAAAGACAAAATGTCAGCTTCTCTGTTGGATTCCTGACCAC